AGAGGGCACATCGATCCGTCTGAGGCGAAACCTCGTTCCTCCTCCCCGCCCCGTTCTCCCGGCAAAGGCCGCGGGACTGAAAGCCCTTCTCGCAGCTCCCGTGCCACCGGGAACCACCCGGAGACGGCTCCGGCAGCCCGCGCGCGGAACTCGCTCTGCAGCACTCGGAACCCCCGCGGGGGCACGCGCACCGGAGCGGAAGAAATCACGACTGGTTCAGATAATTCAAATGGAACTCAGGGAATGCTCTTGCGGCCGAAGGGAAACTTCTTGGTGCTCAAAACCGCTTCGCTCTCAGCCCTTCACCCCTCCCCATCACACGCTAGCAGCATTGTTCACCGCTGTTCCTACCCCATCTTCCAAGAAGATACCGAAACTGCTGCTTCTGAAGTGGTCGGGTTGTTCCCCGCAGCCTCATAGTTGGTTGTGGAGAATCCCGTTGTTCCCAGAAGTTTCTTTCCTAGCGTAGGATTTAAATCCCTGCAAGTCCTCAACGCATCTGGCTGATTCTGGAGCCCTTCTGTCCCCTGCTGAAAATGACAGGTCACACAGGAGGCGCAGTAACGTTTCAAGGGCTGGGGGACAAACAGATTTCTGCACAGCATGAGGGATGAGGTAGATACAGAGAACTGATGAGCTGGACATTGAACCGGGGACCCAAAATACTCAGATGCTTGTCACATAGCGGTCACTGAATGTGCCGACTTGTCACCGTATGGGGGCTCCTTCAGGCACCGCCAATTTCCCTGTGCACTGGAGGACACTGGAAGAATCAGTTTTCTTCCACAGGAATGCTGGAAGAATTTTTTGCATAGCACATTGCTTTGGATGAAAATAATATATTCAACCTCCTGGCTATGGACATTAAAAAAGAACCACTTCACTTGCCTCTGCCCAGTCAACGAAGTTAACAAGACATGGGAAATTTTGTTACCTTGATTTAAACATCACCAGACCTATACCAGAATATTCTTAGTATCAATACTAGAATTTACTGCATCTGCAGATTTAATATATATTCTGGTATGTCTGATTCCATAATTATTTTTGTGTTACTGCTAGAATAGTATTTTCTTAGAGTCCAATTTAAAGAAGACATTTTCAAGTAAACAAAATATTTCTTTTGGTCCTCTTTAGAAGCAAATTTCCATCTCTTTAGGTCCAAATTCAGACAGTCTGTCTGGAAGTTCTGAAACATTTTGGCAAGAGGGATGTTTCTCTACTTCCATTTTTTCTGATGGGTCAGGAAATGAGCTATCGTTCTAGCTTGGCTACCAGTGGAGAAGAAAAAGAACAAGCTGACACCTTCACATTAGGCTGGAGGGCTTGCATGCTGCAGCTCTAAACATTAGAAATCTTGCAAATTCAAGATGGGGAGATGAAGTATTGTCAGTATTCCACTTCATGTGAGGTTCAGCTGCTCTTGGATTTGCCTCTTCTAGCTACCCCTACTGATACCCACTTTTCTCTGCTGCATTTGCCTGCTGCAATGACCAACTAGACTTGCACAAGAACAATAAAAAGGAAAGACGGAAGTACTAGGATGTAAGAGAAGCTGAACTGCACTCCCTGTAAATCAACCTCCTTTCTTCCAAATTACATTAGCTAATGGTGGCAGCACCATCAGGTACATTCACCTTCAAAAGCTGCTCTCTCTTTTAAGTAATTCCAAGAGAAATGGGGGGAGGCTGAGAAAGAGAAAGGCAAGCTACACAAGGAGAATTGTAATAGCTTCCTGTCAGTTACTGCTGTCTGCATTAGAATTTTTTTTTTTTTTCTGGCATTCAGCCTGGGATTGGAGCATCAGCCTAAGAAATTTCCGAGCAGACACAGTAAGGTACGTGATGGTGTCTGCACACACCATGCACAGATGTCTGAAGCAAGACACAAACGTTCATTTTAAGGCAGAATGTGGAACTACAGAAGAGGTGCGTTACTCAACAGCCAAGTCTCTCTGTAGCCTGTATTTTGTACAGCTGATGGCACAGAGACACTAATGGATGGGACAGAAGTTCCGACTTTATAGGGACAGTCAGAAACCCAATTCCCTCCATACACACGATGAGTGAACCCCACAGGTGTTTCACTGTGAATCCTGAATGTACAGCTCTAAAGACCGTGTAAAATTCTAATTGCATTTACAACTACTTTACATGGATCAACATAGTTAAAGCTGAATCCTAGCCTGCATTTCAGCTGGTCAAAATAAAAATGAACCACAGAGATTAAACTATTAGTATTAGATTTGAAAAGAATCTATATCACAACTGGAGTAAGGGCCAGTTATGATGCTACAGTAAATGCTATGCCACAATTAAATACAATGCTAACAATGCTGTAATAAAAATACACCCTTAAAATTATATTGTTGTCTTAAATACATCTTTAAAAGGTGAGAGATTACACCATGGATCCTTTGCTTTCTGGAGTAACTATGTAAAAGCTCCAGACACTGCCTAAAAACAATTAGAGGATGAGGCTAAATGATTCTATGATTCTATCAGTTGTATTGTGAGAAATTAATAGAGTTGATATCCGAGTCTTTCTGCTTCTATCCAACTGCTTGGATCCGTCTTTCAGGTAAAGTCCAGCGTATTCACGCAAGTTTATCCTGAATGCCCCAATTCTTCTCATACAACTTCATACTACCCTCACCTACCACAATTTATTCTCAGCTGTCTCACCCTGACCTCCTTAAACTCCAATTTAACTGGAGTTTACCTTCAGTAGTGAAACTAACCTGTTGCTTAGATTCCAGTCAGTTCAGACTTCCTCCTGTCTGCTGAGCTACTGTGTTTGGACAGTATTAGCACTTAATGCACTTACTAGCACAAATGCATTAATTAGCACAATGACAGATGCAATTTCTTTTCTGACATGTCACCCCCCACCCCAACTCCAATGCTAGCCTACCTTATCCTGAGCTATCTCAAGCAGATCAGCCACCCTGCATCATTCTGTCCACCTAATTAGTTCTGAGCTGCCATCCCTAATCCCTAACTCCCAAATCTACTGAAATCCAGCCCATTTCCACTGCAAATTACCTGATGCCTCCTTATTTGCTCAGAGATGCCACAAAGTATCATGATCTGCTCTGATCCATTCCAAGATCCCCAGAACCATCTCTGAGACATTTCAGCATTAAATGGGTCTTTTCTGCGGGAAAGAATTAAGATGCCAGTCATGTCAGAGCTCTGGAACAAATCCTGCAGTTCCATTCTTCTCCACCCTTCCTAATTCCTCTGCAGGGCCACGTATTTCTCACTGCCAGCTCTGAGACACTAAATCATAAGAGAAGTGCACTTTGTTAAAGCCTGACAGAGGCTTTGGCTCAGCTGGTCATATCACTAAAAGGATTTTGTCTCTGATTAATTTCAACCTGTCAGTAGAGGTCTCTGGGCAGAATGAAGGAACCTGCCGCCCTGTGTTTCTGATTAATACAGCTTCTCGGAAGGTGCCTGGAGATCCATCAACAATCTTAATTAAATCCAACCAAATGGATGACAGCTAATCATTAAGGGAGTGGCTCTCTTGGGACGATGGCTGAAGAGTGGGTATGCAAGGATGGTAAGGGAGGCAGGTGTCTGCTTGTTTATACAGTGATGTCCCTGATGGCTGTGTTTCAATTCAATTTAGCCTGTTCCCAGTCCTTAAGGAGTTATTTTTTCTTCCATTCCAGTTAAAACTACCCTCTGCCAAGGTGCAAGAGGGGCATTTCTGCTGTGATTCTCCAGCTGCTGCACTTTGCAGACCATTTCCAGGGAAAGAATCTCATTCTCCTTTCCCTCCAAACATACACATGCACTGTTGCTCGGCTCTTATCCTACTTACCACCACAGAGGATTCAGAGATCCTTCCGTTCGAAAATTACTACAGTGACAGAAAGAAGAAAAGGCAATTCTTTTTCAGTTCTAGAAATTATCAATGTTAGGTATCCAATCAATATTATTCAGTGAGGTTATTTGCTTCCTAGAAATTGCAGTCCTTGTTAAAGGACAGAAAACACAGACTACTACTTCAGTACATAAAATACCCAGCTTCTTACTGAAAAAACAGGCAGCACCTTGTATCACAGTTTTGGCAGGAGAATGAGAATCTTAGCTTGTCCAGTGCAATGAATTGGATTGCTAGATTTTTAACCTTCTGTCAGACATTTATTTCTCCTCTCTTGTGTCTCAGAGGACATAAACTTACCCTAGCTTCTCAAGTCAATTCTGAGACACAGCATCAATAGAATTTACCAGTGTTTCACATGAGCAGTAATGAGGAGGTATCTATTTTTAGAACATTAATGCTAGTGAATAAAGCTATCCTGACAGCTTTGAAATCCTCCCTCTAGTCACACAGTAAACAGGCAAAATGCATGACAAGCAGTGAAGTGACTCACCCTTGTTAGTAGAAGTCTACCAAAAGGTTTACAGAGGTAATCTCTATCATCCTCGATATTTGATATCTTTGCAAAAGTTCCTGATTAGTCTCAGTTGTGTGTTCTTATAAGCACAGGCACCTGCACTGTAAGAACTTGATTAAGATGTTGTATACATTGTTCAGTCTGAGTATGATATAAACCTTCCGGTAGTCACAAGATGAGTGATGACATTCAGCCACCATCTAGCTGGTTTGGTTTTAAAGCAGTGAAGTGAGAAATCCAGTTAGCAGTCAAGAACAGGAATCAGAAACCTTTTTCCAAAATATTAATAGTTGCTGCAGTAACCTTCCTCCTTGTCTGCATTCACATAGCTTGCATTAGTAGAAAGACAGCTAGGATCATAAATTGAATTCACTTTGCTAAGACTGGCATTAGTCTTTGGACATGATATAGCAATCCTTTCAAATTCATTATGTAAATTAATCTCAAATTCTTCAAGGGTATGAGACCCAGCTCCTCCTCCTGCCTCCTACAAATAACAGGAGAGAGATGAAAGCAAAGCCCTGCTGGTAGAACCTCCTTTATTCAACATTTTGCAGTCCTTGCTGTGCAGAGAAGTGGATGTTGTGAAGGTCATTCAGCAGCCTGGAACAGAACTGCAACCACAGCTCTTTAGCCAGCAAGGGAGGATTCCCACCTATCCTGCCCCTGAGGAGTTTACCTGGCAGCTATACAAGTTATTCATACTACACACTGGAAGAAATATTTCAGCCTTAATTCTTGCGTACCACGTACAATCAGTGAAACACATTTAGTATATTAATTTAGGCAACAGACACATTGTTTATAAATCATGGACATATTGTGACGTACAGGAGATGATAAGCTACTATGATCTATTCCTACAGAAAAAAACCTCTGCAGATACAAGAGAAACACAAGGCTTGGGTGAGCATCATGGCTGTGAAGAGTGGTAGCTGATACTCATTACTTTTTGAGAAGTTCACCACCTGCAGGACTGTAAAAAATAATTAAACCTAAGAAGACACTAAGAACTCAGAAGAGAAAGCTATTGAAACTGGCTCATGACTCTTAACTACAAACTGGAAGTTGTACTTTGAAACTCATACGAACCCCACAGAATATCTGTGATAAAGTTACTTTCGTATCTGTGCTGCTTTTACACCTGTGTTAAGAAGGGATATGGCAATCAGAAATACTCATGCTTGGCAACAGTCATGAAGCTCAAAGCAACAGCCTTCTGTAGTGCATACATACAGCAAAAAAAACCCAAACAAAAAACACTCCTGTAGGACTAACAAAAAACCCTTGTTGACAGGTCACTAATATACTGAGTACAGATAATAAATAGTGGTGAAGGAATACACGGTTGTGAACTAGCAAATTAATGAATCAAGGTCCCAAGGAGTAAGCTTTTATCTGGTTTGCTAGCTACTCTTTAAGTTTGTACCACTGTATCTTCAATTCTGTTGTTATTTGACAAACATGCTCATTTTGCTGAGCAGGAAGGCAAAGTGAGGCCTTGGGACATCATTACCCAAGAATTAAGCAGGTGCTATGATGCACACGCTTATATTGGTACTTCCTCCTGTTACTCCTGCAAGGACAACACATTAAGTGTAGCCTGTCTAATTTTGGCAACAGCAGGTAAATTATAACAAATACCTGGACATGGTTATAAACCCTACACTTCTAGAAAAACTACTTAAATTACAGGATAAAATAGCAAAAGCAGAATATGCTAGTACTTGGTTTGTATTTTTCACATTTAGTACAAAAAGCAAGATTGGAATTTCTCTTCCTGACTACCCCAAACACTTGAATAAGAAAGGGTTTTGAGATCTAGCTAATTAAAAGCACCACGCGCTCAAAGACTACTGAATGATTTTCTATATAGAAGCAGGAAACAAAGAGAATCTGAAGTAACTGAAGGCATTAATTCAAACAATTTATTTAAATATCATTAAACTGTTCAGTAGAAGTTGATATTCAGAACTAAAGCAGCCTTGATTTGTTTTATCATAATTTAGTTCTCAAGCACATTGTGGCCACTTCAATCCTGAATAGACATATCTGTAATCTTAATCTGATTTGAGTAATCCACTTTAACAATTAATTCAAATATATTCACTTAGGTATTCATGTCTCCTGAGTAACTGAAAAAAAAGGAATGTAAACTGATGAATGCATTTTAGCTGAAGAATTATTTGTTACTGTTATTACAGAAAAGATAAAAAAGCAGTTTTCTCCTTAAAAAAAATCAGGTGAGATCTGCGTATATTTTATGTATTTTCCACATTTACAAGAATCCAGTGATAGTTACGGGTCTGAAGTCTCCTCTGTCAAGGTGCCCAGTTTTTAACACTGCAATATTCTATCACTTGAGAGGCAAACATTGAGATGCATATAATTACCTATACTAATATTATACCTATAATATCATACCTGTAGCATTATGAATGGGAATTTGAGGGGAGAAAAAAAAAAAAAAAAGAAAGATTAAATCTTCCATCCACAGCTAAGCAATGGATAGTGACTTAATTAGGGGCAGAATGTAGATTCACTCCTGTTCCTAACTTTTACTAACAGGCTTCAGACTTCCCATAGCAATGCATGAACTGCCTTACAAAATGAAATTACCCCCCCACACTCTAGACCTTCATTACCAACATTCTGTTTTAGGCACGGATAAACTCTGGCTATTTAGTCAGACATCGCTGCACTGTGGTCATATTTACCTGTGCTTTTAACCTGTGACACTAAGTGAATCTCCAATGCAAAATCGATTATTTCAGAGAGGTACCCAACATGGAAGGGAACAGTGGGCTTTATTTATATCTGTAAGAGATACACGCTATGCAACAAGGAAGATCTATCCAGATGTCATCACTTTTAGGAACTCCAGTCACAGACCAGGATCACACTGTATTAAGATCTGGTAGAGATACAAAACCATCTCAGTGCACCTGATTCTGATCATCCCCTTCAGCACAGAAAGACTGCAAGCTTTGTATCCAAACTGCAGAGACCACTGGAGAGGTACCATTGTTAAAATGTATTTGTCTTTGCAGAAAGCTGCAGATACTCAAAAAGAACAAATCAAAGGCCTCTGAATTGCTGGTGTTAAAGAGATAACAACAAGTCAAGACTGTAGCTGGGATTCCAGCTTTACGGAAACTTGAAAGAAGCAAAGCATACTAATTTTACTCTAGTTCTGCACAATACCAGGTAATACACTTTCTGGTGTGAAGTACTTTGTTGAAAGTTGTAAATATAAATAATTTAGTCTCTCATCCCATTGTACGTATCACCTGGAAAGTTAGCAAAAAAAGGAAAATTAGGCAGAGGGTAAGTGACCTGCCCATAGTTATTGAGTTACCCTGAAAAGCAGGAGCATTCAAGGCATGCTTACTTGGGGAGAAGAGGCTTTATTGCTGCAATTTCATAAGGCACAATTGCACTCCACAGACATTTGTCTTTTGTAATTCCTTCACTGGAAAAGCTGTTTGTTAATAGCAGCTAACAGGACAATGAGGACAATAAATGGCTGATAAAATATTTATAAAAAATGATTAATATTTTGGAGATTAAAAAAATCCCTGAAATAACTTCGGGTATTTGAGCAAGATTCTGGAGAGGTGTTCCTCTGAAGTCATGTAAGCCACAAGGAAGCTATACCAAATGCAAAAGGAGAGTAAATTCCTCTTTTGTCCCACATGTTGACACCTGTAAATCAGGAGTGGCTTCACACCACAGAGCTGAAATTCAAATCAAAGCAGTTGCTAAGATCTTCACTGCCGAAATCCAATCATAGCAGAAACTTACTCACTTCATGCACCAGAAAAAAAGAGTCTCTGTGAGAGTTTTTCTTCTATTTCAAGGCAAACATTTGGACCAAGGTAAGAATTCACAGTCTCAACTTTCAATGAAATTTTCAGATCAAGCTCTTACAAAGATGGGTCAGTGTTGCCTCGTCCTCTTGAGAAAAATCTCATGCATATAGTCCCAAAATCTTCCCTGATGTGACTCATTGCGGTGAATCATAGCGGTGAGGGCCTCACCCTGATCAAGGCTTTGCCAATAATCCTGTAGCCACATCTCTTTCCAACTGAAACAAAAAAAGACACCACCATAAACCATTAAAAAAATCAAATGCGTCTGCAGCTGTAATAGCACTGAAACCATTTTTTTTCTTTCACCTAAGAGGAAAACAGTCACAGAGATGGTCAGGACAAAGTATGTTGTCACCGTGCCATTGTGCTCCAAGTCATTTAAAGAAAATTGCTATGACAATTCTCTACAGAAAATATAAGCTTGCTATTAGCTCTACAATATTCTGAAAGTATCAGCGTGTGATTGTAGTGCTAACCAAAGAGACTAAATTACTAATTGTAGAGAATAAAAACTTCCATTAAAATAAAATCTAGCAGAAGTCCTTACATGATTTTGAGAGTAGCCTTCCATGACCAGTATGCGTGTAACAGCCTAAGAGTCAAATTTTTTCAAATAAACCATTTAACAATTAGAGAATGACAGCTGCTCATTACAAACTCGGGTTATACATGGCAGAGACAAAAAAATCATTGTATCCTTCAACCCTGACTCTATTCTTTATCTCCAGACTACATGGTTGAGTACACACTTTCTCTTTTACAGTGCATACATTCTCAAATTTTCATAGCACAGACTACATCACTGAGATTTTCAGCAATTCACTTCCCATTCACGATCACGTGGACTACTTCTCTCATTTGTGTTATATCAACATACAGTAATAATTTATTTATCTCTTCTCCACTGTATCTGCTACCTAGCCACATAAGCCCATCACAAATTTTGGAAAGAAGGACCAGACACGATGCTCTTGTTAATCTGTCCATATGAGTTACTTGTTAACTTATACACAGAGCTTTTTGCTTCTCCCTCCCAATCACAGAAATAAGTACAGTGCCTTCTGCGTTCGCTCTACACACCCTATATTAAAGCAAGCATGGCTGCACTGCCCAGAAGCAGATCTTACCCCCTACTCCAGGAAGACCAAAAGAAACGCACAACGTCATAGTCGCTTTCTTTGAGGAGCAGCGTACAACTTGTATGCCATGGGAATTAGTATTCTGGGGTCAACAGCATCATTTATGGTGGGACGTTTCTGTGGTGTACACCAACAGAGACCCCAAAACAAACCTTTTAACATAGATTACCATGTGAATGATCATAGACAGAGGTGTACTTCTGCATTAAAAAACCCCACGTCTGCCAAAAGGTTCCTTTGTAAAATGCAGCACTTGGAGATCACTTTGCTTACCAGCTAAATTCATTAACCTTTGTTCAAGGACTGCCAAAGTGAATTACTTGTTTTTTACAGCACTGAGTAAGGGCAGATATTAGGAAAATAAGTATACTTGCATTACATACCAGACACAAGACTAAGTGGCAGTAGGTAACAGAAAAAAGAAAATGTTTTCCAGCTGAACTCTACGGAAACAACACTGAAAGGAACTCCAGTATGCAAGTGAAGACTTTTGTCAAAAAAATTAAATAAGAACACTTTGGTATTTTTCTTTTTACATTGCTGTCATTGATTTTTAAGAAAATAATTTCACTCTGATTCTGTAAACTGGAAAAAAATGGTACCCCGGGATGTACAGGACTGTACAAATATCCTGAAACTACAAACTACGTACACCTGAAACATTACTGCCACGAGATACAGGTCTATCTTTAATCTTGGCTAGATCTATCTTTAATCCTGGCTGATTATTGGATTCAACTGCAAGAGACACCTTACAGTGTACACGTGGCAAATCTGATACACTTTTAAGTTGGTTTTCCTCTTGTAAATAAACTGTGACATCGATATAAAATGGGACTGGCAAAACCATGACGGTTTCAAAACATTCCTTTATCAAAGGCACACTGGCTTCTCTTTTCTCGTGCTACCACAGATGAAAACTGTTAAGGTAACTGGAAAGGTATTGTCACTTTGACTTCTTGTAGTTATCCTCTCAAATGCTCCACTTTTGCAAAATGAATCTGTATCAATGAAACAAACCAAACATTTCTCTTCACAAAGGTGAGAGTCCAAGAATAACTGGGGATTCCAGTTCCTACTGAACAGATGTAACTCACTATTTTCTGTACAAAGCAGCCAAGAATTCAAGAGACTATAGTGACCGACCCATAACCTAAGACATACAAGCAGTTGTTCTACAGCCTTTCTTCTGAAGCTCACTTGGGTGTGAAGCCCAGAAGTCCAAACACAAGTGAGGCTGCAAGCATAAGGATTTAAGAAACACGTCTCCACACTTAGAGCTAAAGGTATAATAATGTGCTCCAGCTACATACACATACATAGAGATTCTGATGCACAGTTCTGTCAATTCAGCCCATTCGTCAACCCTAAAAACAAATTACATCTGGGAATGAGGGTCACAGAGCATGCAGATGCACAGGGTGACCATATTGTAATTGAGTACTTGCTCTAAAAATATATAAACTCCAATTGCCTTCGTTGTTCTCAGAGTTCCAGAAGCCTCCAGAACCCAAAATCACAGTGTATGCTTATAGTCATACCTTGTATATTTTATCACTTGTAACTCCACTAGGTTTATAATTTTTCCAGTTCTCTAAAGTAACAAAATACACAATTCATTGGCTCAGTAGAAATCATCTAAATTAATCATATTGCTGACATAACATTACTGTCAAACTCTGACAAAGCATGAGCATGTTTAGCTAATGCTTTGGTGGCAATTTTAGGCTACTGTTACACCATTTACAATTCTAAGTAAACATGTTCCACTTTAGAGATAAAAATGGTAAAAGCTCAGGTCCTTATGAGATAGAAACCACCGTATTTCACTGGAGATTGCCTTGATCATGCCTCAGAAGGTACAGATACATCTTTCTAAAGTAGACAGCAGACAATGTAAAAGCTTCCCTGGTACAATTTTTCCAGACGCATCTCATGTCTATAAACATGGGAAGAATAACACACTATGGTTCAATGAGACGTGGAAACTTCTGTGGGATGCAACTGTAGCTCGGATTATGGACCAACTGTTCCAAAGTCCTTGCTGATGACCACTGCACAGAATGATGGAGTACCTGAGCCTGCAAGCACAGGCACCCATGCTGTGCCTTCAAAGGTATTTCTCTACCGCCACCTGCTGCTCAAAAGCAAAAGAAAATCTATGCAAACGTAGAGAATACTCCCATAGCATGCTACAAGGGAGAAGCACATTTTGCTACCGAGACTGAGAAAAGGTATTACTATAAAAAAGCTCCAATAAATCAATCAATGAACAGAAAACAAAGGATCATGGACCCCTTTTACTCACAAGCATAACTTTTCAATGAGTCAATATGAGAACTAATTGTACTGTGAAAAATGCTTTTTAAAGACAAACATTCCAAGTTTTGTGAAATATGGATTTCCTAAGAAACCTGAATGACATCAGGCTTATTTCCTTTTTTGGTTTCAGTTGGCCATTTTTGAAAGCATCCAAACATAAGACGAAGTAGTTCCCCACCCTTATAAAATTCTTCATACCTTTTTGTGGATGGATAACATAATAAAAACTTTTTCAGAGCTTCATAACCACACAGAACTTAGTTTTGGGTTAGCATACTTGAAATGATGGATTCCACATTTTCAACACACTGTTTCTTCTAACATTTTAACACTCCTAAGCATTCAATTCCTTATTCTAGGAAATCATTAACAAAGCTGTAAATCGATACAAACTGGGATAGAGTATTTCCACAACTTCCTTTTGGACAGTGCAGGAGATCTTCCCAATATTTTCAGAAAGTCATTAATTTAATACTACAGTGGGACTGACATTAGAACATTGAAATCTTTGGTGATAGCTAGCTATGAACATAGGCAAGATCTGCTATGGTTGAGGGTTTATCTTTATGATGGCTGTGTAATAGCTTATGGAAAGTGAATTGCATGCACTTGAGTAATTGCCTAACAAGACAGAAATTGTTGCAGGTAATGCAAAAAAAAAAATTACAAACCTGGGGGATCCAAACTTGTTAGACTAATAATACGCACTACAAAAAGTGCACACACGGTTTATGAACTGCAAGAACCCTTCCCTCCAGCACCTGCAACTTCAAACACTGTCAATGGAAAAACTCAAGGTTTGGGAACCCAAGCACTGACTTGTTTTGTAGCAACGCATGTATAAATACTAAGGACTAAGTAGACAGTGCCAACAAAACTCTATTCTGCCTGTCAAAAGTGGTTGCCTGAGGGTTGGTGTGGTTAGTTCCCTACTGACAGACTACAGGGAAGCTCGCGCTAGAGATGGGTGACACTGGGCTATATGGGCCTGGGAGATTCCAGCAACACTAGCAACCCCTGCGCGCAAAGGGGAAAAGAAGCCACTCAACCTATTCTCTGCCCTGCGTGGTCCCTTTCCTAAATAAATGGGATGGTGTCCTTCAACACAAGCCAGAATTCTGTCACACAAAACAACAAGAAGTGTTGTAAAGTATTCTGGATGGGCCTAACTTCTGCTCTGAAGTCAACAGGAATTAACCAGGCCTGCACTGAAGAGCAGCAGCCCCATTCTTAACGCAGTGCTTTGTAGAGAGGTACACAGCTTCTTTCACCCAAGGGCTACCAAACACTTTACCATCGTTGTACTGAAAAACATCCCTCCTACAAACAAACAAACAAGCAAACAGAGGCTAAGATAGACAAAGGATAACCGCACTGCCCAAGGTCGCAGAGAATGTGAACAGAATGTTACGGGTGTCTCACACTCCTCATTCAGCCACCAACCAATACCACCGTCCAAGCCTCTTTTTCAGCCTCGGTGTTACACAGTATTAGCAGAACTACCATACCACCCACAAGACGTAATAGGAAGTGCAACTCGAGATGTATTAAGAGATCCTTTAAGTACAACGCATTGTTAAAAATTACAGCTACCATTATTTGAAGCTTTTTTTCCTTCACAAAGCATAGTACCGGTACATTACCTGTCTCCTCCAGAGAGGTCTTCAACACTTCCAAACCCAGGGATTGGCACAGGACATCCCATGTGCTTGAACTGAGCTATGCGAGGTTTGGGAGCTGGAATTCTCCCACGGGACTTTTTGTGTTCCTCCTCCTCTTTGACCCGGATGTTCTCCCTGTCACAGATGAAACACTCAAAGCCATTCAAGTAATTGGGCAGAGTCATGTCATTCACACCCCACTCCCGCCTCTCCAAGCTCTCTAACAGGAACTGGTTTTTGATTCCACCATGGTTTTTATACTCTAGGTACTTCATATACTCCTCTCCATTCTTGTCCAGGAAATCAAGATACTTTGCCAGCTCTTGGGGACTGTCAAAGTCGTCTATAAGAATGATGGAGAGGTTGTTTGGCATCCAGTCCCGCACAGCTGGAGAGCCTCGGTATACTGGGACAGCACCCAAGTGCATCGGACGCCACAGCTTCTCTGTCATGTAGTCATCACATATGGCATTTTCCAAGGCCAGATGAAACTTGTACCTGGCGATAAAAGTCATAAATTCAGAATCTTCTGTAGTGGCTGTAGAAGTGTCTCTCAGTCTTTCACTGGGAAGCTCACGGTTATGCAGGCATTTCCCATAGGAGTCAACCTAAAATAACAACCGGCATCTTTACAAACTGATTTGTTTGCCCGGGGTTTGTTTTCAGAGCTTGCAGTTTTCATAACATTCCTAACTTGGATCAGTTCCTAGTTTAGCTTCACTTTCACTCCAGGTTCTTTTCCTTGTGACCATTCCTAGAGTCCCAGTTCTAACAAGTGCTCAGTTTCAAACGCAGCATAAACTATGCTACAGATTGAGGAGGGGGGGAGTGAGCAGAAAGGAAGATGTCACCCCAAATTATTTATTACTAGATAAATCAGAAACTGAGAGGTAAGGAAGGGCATTCAACTCACTCTATGTTAATTTAAATGTCTATTTCTACTTAACAGAGACCCAGTATTTTTCCAAACAGTTACCACACACAGTTCCTGCCAGTCTCAGCAGACTGGCAAAAATCTTCCATTTTTTAGGCTGAGAAAAATTGATGCAGGAAGGTAAAAGAATACTGTCTAAAAATGGAAGACAATACACTTGATCTGGAATCTGCTTCATTCAGTCAAATTTTAAAAATTATTTTGTCTTTACTTCACTACAGAGTACATGATGAACTTGCACAAGAAATGAATCACTACCAATAGAAACAGCAGAAATGACTAGGAAAAAGATGTTTCAGATAAAGGCTAAAAACATGGGGTTTTTTTCCTAATCTACTATCCTTCAGAATTTTTAAGAAAAAAAAAAGCACTAAACATCTTTTCCGCCTGAAAGAAAGTACCTTATTTCAGCTTATGAAGCTGCTCTCCATCAGCTGTGCCACAGCAGTACGAACCACCACAGAAATAACACGGTCCTACCACCACACAGGTAAGGAGCAGATTCTCGAAACACAGTGACCTGTCTTTTCATTGCACGCCTGTACCTTCAAATGGGAGCAAGGCTTGCAAACAGGCAGCCTTCCAGACTTAAAGGTCCAGGGACTTCATCAGCTTCTAGCACTTGGTCCACAAGCCCAAGCTAATGTGGGCTTAGCCCAACTTGCGGTGACCCCGAGTCTGGCTAACTCCACAGCTAACAGCTACCGTCAGGCCTACCTACTGGCACGCGGTGTAGTCTAGACCACGCTTTGGGAAGGAATACAACTAGTTTTTCTGTCCAGCTTGTAGTCGGCATGCATCCCGTTACGATTCGCGTTCTGGCTAAAAACAAGGACAAACAAACCCCGTTACAAAGAGGAGGTGGCGGGGGGGGCAGCCAGGCGGGCCAGCTCCTGCAGCGACACCGTGCCCCCACCTACCTGGATGTACTTCATGAGCTCCCGCACGTAGCGGTCCCTGTCTGAGGGGACGTCGCAGTGGGACTGCATGTAGAGCACCGGGGCATAGCCCCTCCGCCGCCACGCCTCCTTCTCGGCCAGGGGCAGCGCCGGGCCCCGCAGGTACCCCGCGCCGGGCAGCCACTGCAGCGTGAGGGGGTAGTCGGACTCCCGGCGGAAGGTGGCCGTGTAGTTGAAGAGCTGGATGCCGGGCGGGTGGGAGAGGACGTAGTTGTTCATGGGGGACTCCTCGTGGAAGAGCGCCCAGGTCTGGTGGGACAGGCGGGGCAGGGGCGCCTCGTAGGCCCTGAAGTCGGTGCCGTAGAAGATGAGGGCCTTGGTGCGGCGGTG